GGCAATTATACCACATCTTTTTTTTTTTATGGAAGTCTGGTTCTTCTTTATAGTTGGTGACGAGTCCTGTTGACTGCACTTTATGGCAAAGACACTGGGAATATTGGAAAAACAACCTTTGATATTGATTCTTAGAAAGGCTGATCTGGCAGAATTCTAGACAACAGCTTCGTTATCAAAAAAAAGGAAGTTGTTGGGTTCAGGTGAATCTGACGTTGGGTGTTAGCAGTCTTCAATAGTGCAAAGAATGTTGTATTCATGTCCTCTGACTTCCCTAGTAAAATTGTAAAGACTTCTGGAAAAATCTCTCCAACAACAAGTTCGTGTAAAATGTAGAATGTAAATGAGTTTATACCTTTTTTTTTTAAATTGCATGCATTATTTATTCAAAAACTTTATAGAGAAAATGTGATTAAAATTACGGTATTGAAATTTGTTTTATAAATAACGTTACATTGTAGATATATTTCATAAATCAGAAATAAAATTTTTTTAATAAAAAGTGCATTAATCTAATGATTTAAAAAAAATTTTTTTTATACTTCTATAAAATTAATATTAAATGTGCAATAAATTAATTCTTGTTTATTTAGCAAAACAAACAACAGTTACATTGTTTATCTAAGAACATTTTACTTCATAAAATAATGTGGGACAATCAGAACTTTTCATGTGGGACAATCAGAACTCTAAAATTTTAAAAAGTGGGACAATCGGGAATAAACCTGGTGGTCTAATACAGCTAATACGAAGGTATGTACCAGTATTTTAGTCCTGTTTTAAAAAAAGAAAAAGTATTATAAAATGTATTTGGAAATAGCATGTGCTCTAAGCGTGAAGGTTTGTATGAGTATGGTAAGAAGTCTTTGCTTTCTTTAATTGCCTTTAAAGAAGTAAATTTAACTATCTGATTTGATTATGTAAAAGTTTGTTGGGATGCTGGTTTGCTGTTCTCAACTTCTATTACATATTTATAGACTTTTATTTAATTTGCCACTGGACATTTAGCAACCAACAATCAAATGAATCTATCATTCAAAATATGGAATATACATACAGTACATCAAAAATGATCCTTTTAAACAATCTTGAATGACTAATCATTTTATTTTTCAGGTTAGCATCACAGCTCGTCTGTAAAGATTGAAGCTGGGAGTGGGCATTGGAGCTGACTTTTATGGTAAGAACCAATACAAAAACAACAATGAAAAAAAAGAAATATGTTAGACATCTACCATTGACTTGTTTTTCATCCTTTTCTGCTAATACAGACTGGTAGTTCAAAAAATATATCAGCAAATCACTTTTAAACAAAGTAAGAGAAAGGTTTTATGAATCATGATTTTATGACCAGTTATTTATTATTTTGCATTTGATATTGTTTCAATTTTCAGATTTTGACAATTACATTTAATTCTGTATATTTCTTTTTCAGGTAACTGTGGCTGCAGAAAAGGGCTATGTGATTTTACTGTAACAGTAAAGAATGTAATTCAGACTATTTTTGTGTATGTTTGAGAAAATGTTTATAATTTTTACAAAAAGAAAAAAAAATTATGTACAGGTTCTCCATTTTCAACAAGATTGGAAGTTGTAGGTTTTGCATTTGATATTGTTTTTTAATAATTGTAAGGGAGGTAATTTATTATACTGTGTCTTTGAAATTTCAAAAATTACTTTCTATTTTCTGTCTGGCATGTCTAGGCAAAACACTTCCAGTAGTATAAGAATGGAGAATCTAAAAAAAAAGAAAAGAAAAAAAAAAAGAAAAAGAAAAAAATGTTCAATTATTGAAATGTTTTTGATTTTTGCAAATTGTAATATATTTTTTCACCTTTGTGTCATTTTTAGCTTAGTTTATAACAAAGGGTATATTATTTTAAGAATATTTTACAAGAAGCATAGTTGAAGAATATCTTGATGAAAGTAGATTGATTGATTTTTGGTATTTAACACCACTTTCAGCATGATTTGCTATATATTGGCTGCCAGTTTTTATTTGTGGAGACAGCCTGTTGAAAACATCCCCTTCAACAGAGAAACTGGCAACTCTTGTCAATTAAGATTGACGTTAAACACACCTACAATGTGAGGGTTCAGAGTGTTGACAGGCTAGTGATACAGTAGTTGAACTACTTTGACCATTCAGCCACCATTACTCCATCCGCACTAAATATTGAAATGTGTTGAATTTTTGTAATTTAATTATTTTTTTATTTTGATTACCTGTATACTATTTATATTTTTTTGTTATATATAACAAAGATGTGGAGTTCTAACAGGGTGAAATTTAGGTCAAAGGGAGATAAATTATTATACTGTGTTTAACTTCAAATACTTGAAATTCCCTCAATGTTAGATTTTTATTTACTTGGATATTCACATTTATGCACTTTTTTACATATCAGATTTTTTTTAGATAATAGAAATTTAGGGTGGGAAAAATTATGTGTCACTTAAAATAATTACGTGAAATTTTTCAAAAAGTTTATTAATTGAAAGTGCATCTGATATTTTTTATGTATGTTACTTTATTTTCTGAAAACAAATGAACACAACATAGATTGACAATAAGATATTGAGAAGAACCACCTTGTCAGCCAGGATAGCGGCTCTTAGGAAGATGGTCAATTAAATCTTCAACCAAGTCTGACTCTTTACCATGAAAATAGAAAAGGCAAGTTTATTTTAGCCAGATCTTTTAAGATAACAGACCCTTCTGAAATATTGCATTTAAAACACCATTGATGAATTAATTTACCAGTTTAGTATTTAAAGATACAAGATACATGAACAAGATTTTCTATTAAAGTATCAATAGTAAATCCTGAAAATAGTCGTTAAACTTCAAGAAAAGACCAGTACAATTTAAAACACGATTTTGCATTCAATGGGAGATAACTTTGTAAAATATTCAGATATTTTTTGTGCAGTTAAATTTAAATCGACGTTTTTTTACTTTTCTATCTTTTATATTGATTTAAACAAAAAAATATTTTATACAATTGTCTACCTGCAATAAGAAATCAGAACAATATTTAGTAAATTTTAGGTTATCGGTAACACATAAATTGATTTACAAAATGTATAATGTGTTGATTATAATTTCATTTCAGGTTCTTTCTGAGACATGTTTTCATGGTGTGGGAATAAGACTTGGTGGTCTTATACAGCTAATACAAAGGTATGTACCAGTATGTTAGTCCTGTTTTGGAAAACTCAAATGTATTATAAATATTTTATGGAAAAACAAGATTTGAACGCTTAAAAGATTTTTTCATCCATATGTTCTTGACATATATAACACATTTTAAGACTATTTCTATTTAATGATTTGCCACTGGACCTTAAGCAACCAACAACCAATCATTCAGTCTATTCAATATACATACATAATACCAACAAAGAACCTTTTAAACAGTTTTTATACGCCCGTTTACGGGACATATTATGGTATACTGTTGTCCGTCTGTCCGTCATCAACATGTCGAACATTAACTCAAAAACACTGTAACCAATTCGCATAAAGCTTTGGTGAATTGTTTATATCTATTGACGTGAGCTCCCTTTCGTTTTTTATAAATTTTAGATTTTTCATCAAAAAAAGGGGGGTTTTCCAGTTTTCGGACAATAACTCAAGAATGCTTTCACCAACTTGCAAGAAATTGTGGTGAATTGTTTATATCTATTTACATGAGCTCCCTTTTGATTTTAATAAATTTTAGATTGTACGTTTCCGAGTTACAGGGTTTTATTCATGAATTATCATTTTATTTTTCAGGTTAGCATCACAGCTTGTCTGTAAGGATTGAAGCTGGGAGTGGGCATTGGAGCTGACTTTTATGGTAAGAATCAATACATAGATTTATGAACTTTTCATCCAAGATTTTTTTTAAAGCCCAAGATTTTTGTTAGGCACAGATGTAAATCTTACATATTAATGTCTTCTTTACTTATAGTTGAATAAACAATTTAGAAGGAGATATAAAGATATATAAGGGAAGTCAAAAAGTATAATGTATAATGCGAAATCTTGGGATTTCAGTTTTTTTGTTATCTATAGTTGTCCCCATATATGAAAAATATGTAAGTGTGGTATGTATGCCAATGCTCAGACAGCTATCAACCAGAGACCAAATGATGTGGATGCAACTAAATGTCACCCTATGCCTTCAACCATGAGCAAAACCTATATTGTATAGCTAGCTATAAAGGTTCAACATGACTAAATGTTAAAAAAATTCAATCAAGTATGTTATAGCCTGATATACTATATATAGCTATAAAACAATGTTAAAAAGATATTTGTCAAGACATCAGCCAATGACATGTTTTTCATCCTTTTATTGCTAAGAAAAACTCGTACTTTAAAATTTATGTCAACAAATCACTTTATAACAAAGAAAAAGAAATGTTCTATACATTATAATTGTAATGCTCAGTTAATTATAATTGTTTTGTATTAAATATTATTTCAATGTTCATGAGTAATGTTTATTTCTTTTTCAGATAACTGTGGCTGCATAAAATGGTTGTGTGATATAACTGCAACAGTAAAGAATGTAATTCAGACTATTTTTGTGTTTTTTTACCATAAAAAAAAAAAAAAAAAATGTAAAGATTCTCCATTTTCAACAAGATTGGAAGTTGTAGGTTTACTTGTATTTGACATTACAAAAATTCTTTCTATTTTCCATTTATACTCATGTCTAGTCAAAACACTTCCAGCAGTTTAAGAATGGATAATCTAAAAGAAAAAGAAAAAAAAAATGTTCAATTATTGAAATGTATTTTTTTTTGCAAATTGTAATGTATATATTTTTGCCATCTTTTTGTTATTTTAGGATTTGAGATACTTTCAAATTTTACAAGTTTTTTTATACATGTAGTTAATGCAATTAAATCTGCGGATGTGAATATTCCCACTAAATTTCTTAGCAAAAATTTTAATTATTTTTTTTTTTTTAGCAACGTTTTAAAATACCTTACCATAGCAAATGCCTCTTTAGTGTAAACTAAAAAGATGAATAATGGTCTGCAGTAAATATATCCCCTTACAACCTTTTCTTTCATGTTAATTTTAATATCTTTAAGATATGTGACAAGGGTGCTCTAATGCAGAGGAATTTACGAAGTTAAGAAGTTAGAAATATATTTTTTGCACTTTTTTTGTCATTTTTAGCTTATTTTGGTTTGTAACCAAGGTGATAATTTTTTAAAGAATAATTTTACAAAAGGCATAGTTGAAGAACATCTTGTTGAAATTGGATTGGTTGATTTTTGGTGTTAAACACCACTTTAACATGATTTACTATAATTTTGGCTGTAAATTTTTATTTGTGGAGACAGCCAGAGTGCCTGGTGAAAACATCACCTTCATCAGGGAAACGGGCAAACCCTAGTCAAATTAAGAATGAAGTTACACATTTCATGTGAGGGTTCTCAGTGTTGACAAGCTAGTGATACAGTAGTTGAACTACTTATAGGACCACTCTGCCACCATAAGTCGATCAGTATGAAATATTTTATTGAAATGTGTTAGATTTTTGTTATCAATCTATTTTTTAATTTCAATTGTACTATTTTATTTATTTTGTTTAATATAACAAGGATGTGGAGTCCAAACAGGGTGAAATTTGGGTCAAAGGGAGGCAATTTATTATACCCCTGTTTAACTCCACATACTTGAAATTCCCTCAATGTTAGGATTTTCATCTACTTGGATATTCATGTTTGTACATTTTTTTTTAATATCAGATGTATACTAGCTAATATTGACTATTATTTAGAGCTCTGTAATAAAAAAAAAAAAATGTAAGCAGAGCTCTAGATAATAAGTATGCAGGGTGGGAGAAATCTTGGGTCATTAACAATTGATTTGCTGAAATTTTCAAGAAAGGGGATTTATTGGAAATGCATCTGATATATTTAATGTATAAAACTATATTTAAAAAAAAAAGATGTTAAGATGATGAGGAGAGCCACCTTGTCAGCCGGGAGAGCAGCTCTAAGGGAGATGGTCAATTTAATCTTCACCAAGTCTGAGGCTTTACCATGAAAAATATGTGGTAAGTTTATATATTCCACAAATTTTATGGTAATAATATATATATAGGCATTTAACATTATTTTTTAAGGGTTCTTTTATATCAGTGTTTGATTTTTAGAGTATCTAGTCTTACATTTGTTTTCTGTCTGGTATCGAGTGAGCTGTGTTGGATAGAAACCAACTGTATGCAAGTTATTATCAATGAATTTTAAAACTTATTTGGGTTGAACAAATTTTTATGCAAAGTCTGTAACTGTTTGATTATTGAATTGATATAGAATCATTTTCATAAAAGCGTGGACAAGACGATTTCTTGGCGCTCTTATGTTATCTATTGACTGGGTCAGATAAGGTGAAAGTGTCTGTAACGCCCACTTGTCACATTGAATGTGTTATAGACATTTAAACTGGGGTCGCCAAAGGTTCTAAATGCCTACATCAAATAGTACGAATTACTAACAGAGGACTAAACCTTGTGTGTTGATTTAAATGTTGAATAATTATTTTCTTTTTTTCTTCTCTTGTGCCTACATGTACTTTGCTCTTTTATTCTATTTTAAATCCCTATTGGAAGGCCTCTGACAGACTGAGTGAGCGTAAAATCACTGTTATCGATGATTTTAAGAACCATCAAAAGAGAACAAAACCATCCGATTTTGTAATTGAATATTCCAAAATCATTGTCTTATACATATACGTGCACTTGCACAAGGTCAATTTCTATCTCTAGCAGTTTAAAGTTTTTATAGTGAAGATGATACAGTAATGTATAACAGGTTTTAATAAATGAAACATAGCATTATTTTGTTAGTCTTCTTAGAGACAGATTGATCTGTAAAACAAGTAATTTTTTTTATTTTTTTTATTTTTTAGGTTGTTATAATGATGATGTTTTCATGGTGTTGGGAGTAAGACTTGGATGTCTGATATTGTTAACATGTTGGTAGGTAATCAAGCATCTTTTTAGTAATATAATATTTGAAATCAATTTCATAAGGTTCTTTAGTACCAAAAAAATAATTTTACACTGATGAGATAACGGTTGAATTTTTTTGGTAAATATAAAACTGAGTTTAAAATTCAGAATACCAAATATTTTTTCCATGATTTTTGTCAAGCCTTCGACTTTTGTCAAAAAAGCGAGACATAGCGACCCTACATTCCGTCGGCGTCGTCAGCGGCGTCCACAAATATTCACTCTGTGGTTAAAGTTTTTGAAATTTTAATAACTTTCTTAACTATCCTGGATTTCTACCAAACTTGGAAAGAAGCTTGTTTATGATCATAAAATTGTATTCAGAAGTAAATTTGGTAAAAAAAAAATTCTATTTTTTCCGTATTTTACTTATAAATGGACTTAGTTTTTCTGCCAGGAAATATAACATTCACTCTGTGGTTAAAGTTTTTAAAATTTTAACAACTTTCTTAAACTATCCTCGATTTGTACCACACTTGGACAGAAGCTTGTTTATGATCAAAAGCTAGTATCTAGAAGGAAATTTTGATAAAATTTTGTTCCATTTTTTCCGTATTTTACTTATAAATGGACTTAGTTTTTCTTCCAGTCAACATATCATACAGTCTGCAGTTTAAGTTTTTAAAACATTTATTAGATTCATAAATTATCCTGGATTTTTACCAAACTTGGACAGAAGCTACTTACAATCAAAAGATAGTATAGAGAGGAATATTTTTATTGATTTTTTTCCTCATTTTTGTTGAGCCTGCGATTAACAGCAAAAGTAGGGGAGACACTGGGTTCCGTGGAACCCTTACGAATTTTTTGTTATCCTAGTGCAATTTTAGATTTAGTACATGTGTAATAATTTTTTTTAGGAAAGTTTAGTATAACTGACTACTTTTATATTCCAGGTTAGCATCAGGTTTCCATTGGGTTACTTGCTGGGATAAAGCTGTTATAAGGTGAGAACTTATTCATCAACATACAACTTTAATGACTGTTTATGTTATAGTGTGATGAATGTCACTAAATAGGTTTCAATATATATATTTTTTTTTAATTTACAATTAAAAAAATCAGTATTCAATCTTTTCATTTTAAAATAATGTACCCTTTAAAGCAGATACTAGATCTGAAGAAGATATATGAAGGGGAGATAACAACAAAATCGGATATTTTTGATACTATATATTTTTGAGTAATCATTATATAAGTAATAAACAAATTGTTTAACATACACTGATGTCTGTTTCTTTATTCCCGTTAGATTATTTAAAAAAAATTAAGAATCAACAATTAAAATTTAACTTTGTTTCTTTTTCAGTCGAAAGAGTTGCTGTTGCTGCCTTCCTTGTATGGTAAAATCCTCAGACTACAATCCTGCAAACCATTGGATGAACTGTTGCTATCTTTTGTAAAAAAATCGGATATTTGTCTTAAAAGCAGAATGAATTATAAATGCAATTAATTTTTAATGCTTTGTTATTTAAATTATAAATATTTATTTCATTATTTTTTCTTGCATTCAATTATTGTTTTGTGATTGAAGAAATATAAAAAAAAACTGAAATTATTGTTATTTGAGAGGTCCCAAAGGTATGATGTATGGTTTCACAAGATACCCATAAGACTTGTTTCAGTTTACATATATTTTTTAAGTTATGTACACTGGTTAAGAATTATAAGTCCTTTGTGAAATGATTTTTTCTGGTTAGAAACCTGTTAAGTAGGACTTTGATGGCCAAACACTAAAAGGGAATAAAACAAATCCCCTATTAAACAATTTAAGTACTGAGTTTTTGGTGCAATATGAACTAGAAATAAAAATGTTTAGTGAGCTGGTTTGTTTTGACTCTGCATTCTTTACATTCATACAAATTAATGGCTGTCAGTTTTAATTATTGGTTTTGTTTATATGTTATAAATGCATTATTCAGCATCTGAGACCACTCAAGTGAAAATAATTACATAGTTTTTGCAGTTTGTCATATTTTCTCATTTTTGTGTGATTGGTTTCTATATTTTTTCTCATTTATGATTATTTATATTTTAATGTTTGATTTTTGAGGCTTGTACTCAGCTTCTAAACAATTACCTCCCCCCTCCACATGTATAACTAGGATTCCTGTAAAAGAAGTTTTGATTTTGAAGGATGGATGGATAATTAAAAATGCAAGAATTTTTTAATGTGCTAGTTCATAATGTAAAAGTCTGCACAAGACATCTAACCCTACCTGAACACATTATTCTGACTTCCAGCTGACCAGTCTTTGCTCCTACTCCTAATTGCTGAATGCTTAGCAGGGGAGCATCAAATACCAATTTTTAATTCTTTGATATGACCCAGGGCAGGACCAAATCCCATGCCCATCTGCACTCATGTTGAGCATAAAAAGGTTATTAAAGAAGATTTGTCTGTCTGTTTGTCCATCATCATCTCTCATCCACAGCTTATAAACTATTGGAAGGTTTTCATTTAAACTTTCAGATTATCTTCTGTATCTAATGGCTGCGTGTATTTTATTTTATTATAATGAAATTTTGGGGTTCTCAATTGTAATGAATGGACCTCCTAAGTATTTGAAAAAAAAAGGAAAGGAAGCTTCTCATACCACCATTTTTTCATATGAAGGATAGGTTGGTTCAAATATATTTGTTTTTAATCATGTTTTTAGTAGTTGGATCTCATTATGACAACATTTTAATGACTTAAATTCAAAATAAATTTGGGGTTTCACACTGATATATATTACTACTGTAGCTTTAATGTAAATTTTATAAGGTTTTGCTATAACAAGATTTGTGTTTTATCTGCTTTTAGTGGTTTTTATGTGATTTTATTTGTTTTTACTGTCAAATCTTGTTATACCAAGCCTTAGTATGATTGAGTTTATATAATTTGATTATACATGCAATTCAAAATATAAATTTACATAATGAGATCAGACATTTATTATGCTTTTAACTCTTCTTAGTGGATAAAATAGAAAAATGAATTATCATAAATATTGAAGTGGTCGTTGAAGATTGACCAAATTACAAGATTTATAAATGCAGAATCTTGCTCTAACTAAATCTATGTTCTTATCAGCTGAACCAACCTATCCTTCATTTTGAGTAATAAAATTTTATAAATGGAAAAGTCCATTCTTCGATTGGGGAACCTTTGGATGTGAAAAAAATATACACAATGCCAACAGATACTGAAGATTATTTGAAAGTTTAGGCAAAAACAATTCAATCCTTTAATTGTGATTGGAAGTTGTAGAAGGATGAGCAAACAGATGATATACTTGCTTACTATGGCACATTTCCTAAAGGATATGGACTAATGGTATGGGTTTTGCTCATGGTTGAAGGCTGTAGGTGACTGATATGTGTTAAATTCTATGTCATTTGGTCTCTGGTGGATGAAGGCTGTAGGTGACTGATAGTTGTTAAATTCTATGTCATTTGGTCTCTGGTGGAGAGTTGTCTCGTTGGCAATCATATCTCCTCTTTTTATTTTATATGAAATAATTACTTATTACTTCCTGGGCAAAAAGTTCTGGTTCCAAGAAAATAATAAAAAAAAATATTTATATCATACATGTATTGTTAAATAACTATCCTACTTTGATATAAAGAATTGACTTTGGTTAGAAATTGGGAGGAATTATAAAGAAACTTTACATACAATATAAGAGCTTGGGGTTATAAATGTTTAATGAAATTCAGTTAACTATTTCCTTGGTGATCTAATAATTTTTGCACAGATCACGATATTAGTTTATTTAAATAACCCAGTAAATAAATTGAGTACACCTCATAAATGAATTTGGTTCATGTATTTTTATGCATTTTTTATCTTAGTATTTACCATTGTATTCCTTGTTATATTTGTAAATGCCTCTTCGTATGTGACAAACTGAGGATTCATATATTTGATGGAATTATATAAATTTATTTTTAAGTTTGGTATTTAAAAGTATTGGAAAGCACCAAGTTTAATATTGAGCAAAAAAAATATTCCTTTAAGACCTAAGGATATTAAAATTTAAGACATGTATCTCAGAACAGAATTGATTTTCTAAATTCTATTTAAACAGCTAGTCTGGGAACTGGTATCAAGAAACTAAAAAGAATCCTCAGCGCTGTCAGTTATTTTGTATAAATGTAATATTTAACCAATGATACCTTACCCATGATGCAGATCCTTTTCCTCCTTTTACTTATAAAGGGACTAAATACTTATTATTACAATTTCTTTGGTATTTGTACACACTTGATGGAGCAGAATGGGTCTTGTTTCATTTGGGTATTTTATATTATGATGCATGATAATGATATAAATAAATAGGTAAATAAAAATTTAATTGAGAAAACCTATCTTATATTTTATTTGAGTCTGAATGACAAATAAAGGGGGAAGAGGTTTCTGTGGTCAAGGGTAACACACAGCTGATTTATTGTATGGTATGGACGAAGTTGAAAAAGTGAGACTTGGGCATGCTTTTTCCATAAGCAGCAGCTTCAACAATGTATTTGATTGCGATAAGTTCAAGTTAAAGAAAACAACTAGTGGTAGGTCAATGATATTTGGTATGCAGTTATATAAGCATTGAAACATCTTATTTCTAAGGAGGTTATTTTGCTTCTCTCCCTTAGTCATAGTCGACTTAAAACTTTTAGTTTACATGCATAAGTTTGTGATTAGGTCATTTGAAAGGGAACTATAAGTGGTATGTTAATGATATTTGGTATACAGATGTATAAGCATTGACAAATCTCAGATCCATAGAGATTGTTCAGCTCCAGCCTCAGTCATGGTTTATTGACTGAATGTTTTGCATTATTTACATGTGATTTGTGATTAGATCAGTTTAAGATGAGTAATATCAGATATTTGGTATGCAGTTCTATTGGCATTATCAAGTCTCATTTTCATAGAGATTATTTGGTCCCACTTCCTTATCATGGTTCATGGACTTTGAAACTTTCACAGTTTAACAAGGAACCAATAGATAAGTCAATGGTGTTGGGTATGCAGTTTTAAAAGGATTAGCATTTTCGTGGTGTTTTAATTTTGCCCTGAACCGTCAGTCATGGTTCATTGCATAGATAACAAGTTTAAATATTGCTATTTAATTCCAACATTTGCATTATACCACAAAAAAACGCAAGACATATCTCTGTGTCAACAGTTTATATTTCCATCTCTTGGTATCTTTCAACATCATGTTTTGAGTTTTAAATGTCACAGAAACTTCTTTGCTAGTTTAAACAAGACTTGACACAAATGATACTTAGGAATTACATGACAGAAATGTTATTGGACTTGCTGATTACCTGATTGGCTGCCAAGTCTTTAAATAGATCTAGAATTCTAAAATGATCTAGTTTATATGAAGGCTCATCAGATACAAAACACAGGGATACAGACCTAGCAGTGGATGCTCCTGATATAAAACTTCATAATCCAGACTGAAGAAGAATGAGTTAATCCAAATCTTGTATGCAGTTGCCTTATGGTCTGGTTTAATCTGGCATATGAACATTATCTTGATTCCATTTTTAAGGATAGGTGCACATTATTTGTTTTCAAATTAATTTGACAGTTTTTATGTGTAATAAGGACAATTAATTCTCTTATGGTTATTGCCTTTGATCTATATCTCACATGAAGAGATATATTTTGTATCACATTGCATGGATTGGGATAAGAAAAAGGTTTACGAAAAATTTGTTAATTTGAGTGGCTTATCCTGCACCATTTGGTCATCATTTAGGTTCCATGATTTGGTCTGTTCTCGGTCAGATTCTCTAGGTCAACAATGTATGGTGTACAGAATGATTGTAATGTGAATATGATTGTCTGATGAGATACATCTGACCTTGGCCTTTTTTGAAGTGTGGTCAACATTAAGTTTTTATAGACTGCAAAACTTTTGCCATTTTATAATGGTATGGATATGTCGTCATTGTGGTCTGTAGACATATGTTTTCCAGACAAAAACTTGAGTATATGTGTATAGATCTTAAAGAAATAAAACCACAAGGTCCCATACCACAAAAGGAAGGTATGAATTGAATTTGGGGTTATTGCCCTAACATTTTAGGAATAAAGGTTAAAAAAAATATTTTCCGGGGTTTCCAGACCATAACTTGAGAATAAATCCATGGATTTCTATGAAATTATTATACAAGATTTCAAACCAAAAAGGGAAAGTTGGAATTGATTTTGGTGATTATGGTCCAAACTGTTTATGAATTAGGAACCAAACAAACACCAATACTTAGTATACATTATTTGTTTCTTGACCAATTTCAATTTCGATGAGAATCATGTATTCTTTGGGTTCTTTAATATGCTGAATCTGTTACCATGTTTGTGTATTTCTGTTTTCGAATTGGTTCACATTCAGGTCCAAAGGGTCCAAAATTAATCTAAGTTTGATTTAAACCCAAAATTGAATTCTTTGGATT